CATTTAATATAAAGTTATTGAGCGGTGTAACACTTAGTAAAAGTTACACCGGTATCGTTTGAACCCTCCTCATATATATATATATATATATATATATATAAACCTACAATCTACTTATTTAAAAAAATCAAAAATCCATAGACCACTCACAGAAAAAATTAAAAATTCATAGTCCACTTATTCATTCCGTCAAATGTCACATTGGGATGGTTATTTATTAGGTCAAAAACTTATTTTTTATGGAATAAAAATAAAATTAATCAGATAAAAAAAGAAAGTATGAATAGACATTAGAAAAACAATATTTTTTAAAGAAATAAATTTGACAGAACAAATATTTTAAAAAATAATTTAAAAAAATGTTTTAAAAAAAATATATGGTTGGACATTAGAAAAAATAAATAAATTAAGTGAGACAACTCGTTTAATTCATCAACCCATGGTGAACTAGTTCAAATAACCTATTTTGACAATTTTAATTATTAATACAAGTGACGTTAATAATAATAACAATAGTAGAAATAATAATTGTGGCAATAGTTGTGACTATCACCACTCTTATCATTTTCTCATTGTAGTCACATTGAGAATAAGTGATAATTACCATGTTGATGATAATTGTCTCATAAAAAGGTTATTTCCAAGTATAGTTAAGTTTGATTGTATTTTCATATAATTTCATAAATTTACAATTTAATTTTTCAAAATTCATATTCTATTGCCAAACTTTAAAAATTTTGCATATATTTGTCACTCGACCATCTATTATTGTTAGTTGATTGTCAATGTAACTTGTTAATAGTTGATATGAGATACTAACATGACATATAAATCATGATTTAATATAATGTGTTATATCAATGATCAACATATTATATTAGTCGTGTTACATCAATGATCAATATGTTATGTTAACCATTAACGTATCATAGATCAATTGATGAAGTCAATCAATCAACTAACAAAATAAAATGTGATAAATTTAAAAAATTAAGTAATTAAATTACTTTTGAAATCTGACTAATAATTTTTATAAAATTATTAAATATGGATAACATGAAATGAAATAAAATCATATAACTTTATTTGTCAGCTAATTTTAATTTAAAGGTTATTTGAAAGCATTATAAGAAGCAAGCAAATATGAGTGGTGTTGAAATTATTCTAAGACATCGATAAGCCAATTGATGGGTGAGGAGGGTAAAGGAAAAAGGAAAGGTATATGCGTTCAGTTCGGGTGAGAAGGAATTTATTTGTTCTATTTTTTGTAAGTTGGTTATTTATTATACAACTTCTAAGGGAATTTATTTTTAAAAAATAAAGGACTAAACTTTATGGTAATGAATAATTATTCTCTTTGTCTGTTTTATTCCATATTCCTTATATTTAAAAAAAAAAACAATTAAGCACATCAATTTTTATAATAAAATAATGTATCAACCCAGATGCGTGTAATGGTTGGGGTTGTAAGTATTTTTCATCAAATTTTAAGTTCAAACGTTAATAAATGCCTATTCTCATTCACAAATTAGTAACAGGATTCTTCGGTTACTACAATACAACTATTATATTTAGTTCTTGAAAATATATTTTAAGAAAATAATTAAATTTTCCTTAATAAAGTACTAGTAACAAATAATGTGAGGAAAAATATTATAAAAAGGAGAAATAAAATACACTAGGAAATCCAATTTTATTTTCCAAACTTTTTTTTTATTCTCAGGAAAGCAAGCCAAATAAAGTCATAGGGAGGGCATTGGAATTTGAATCCAAAGATCTCTGGCAATAAAAATGTCAATATGCAAAGCTAGGTCTGACTTATTAATGGTTGATGATGACGTTGGACTTGCGTGTAAGAGATTCTCACTCTAGGGTTATTGCATCATGCATTGCACTCCTCCTTCTTTAGGAATCACCGCTAATTAACCTTGACCTTCGTGCAAATCATTGTTTTTTCATTTGTTAGCTTTCTAGTACAGAAAGATTAATGTTATGACATGGAACAAGGACTAGGAGTATCTGTATTTTATGGATTTTCCAGTTATTTTTTTTAGAAAAAGTTATTAAATAAAATAGATATATTTAATATCTTAAAATATATAAAATAGTTTATTATGGTATAAAAAATTGTACTTGAAAATACTTGGCCAACATTCAAGTTTGAAATATTCAAAATGTGTAATTGTCTTTCTTCAAGATTAGATGTCTCAATTTATGTTAAAGTTAATATTTATGATTTTCATAGTTGTTATCCTAAAATCTCATAATAATTGGTATTATATGTTATGAAATTCAATCTATACATTAGTCATATTGATTTTCATATAAAATTTTTTAACTAGTAAATATTTAATAATCTCTAAATTTAGACAATTAAGTTGAGTATTGTATAATGTGTAAACCTTTCAGAATATTTTTAATTCGATACATTTGCCCTCCATTCTTAAGCACGAGGTGTGTAAAGGTTATATATGACCTTCTATTTTTTGTTGATAAGTCGAAACCTCTCAAAATGATTCACGTGTTCCTTGCTTTAATTCTTGATTTTTCGTGCGTGATGGTTGGTTGCAAGTTAGTCCTACTCACATCTTTTTGGACATTTTTATGCGTGGTGCCTGATTGCAAGTCAGTTCTACTCAGGTTTTTTCAAGTCAAATTTTTGTGTGTACTGGTTCCAAGCTTGCCCTATTCATCTCTTTTTGAGCCAATTTTTTTGTGTGTATTGGTTATTGCAAGTTAGACATACTCACATTTTTTATAGTTGATTTTTTGTGAGTTGTGGTTGGTTACAAGCCGATTCTACTCACGTCTTTTCAAGTCAATTTTTTGTATGTAGTGGTTAGTTGCAAGTTGATTAAACTCACATCCTTTTTAGTTGATTTTTTTGTGTGTGGTGATCAGTTGTAAGCTAATCCTACTCACAACTTTTTGAGTCAATTTTTTGTGCGTGATAGTTGGTTGCAAGTCGGTCCTACTCATGTCTTTTCAAGCCAATTTTTCATATGTGGTGACCAGTTGCAAGTCGATTCTAATCATGTATTTTTAAGTTGATCATTGTGCATGGTGACTAGTTGCAAGCTGATCCTACTCACGTCTTTCTGAGTAAATTTTTTTCTCACCTCTTTCCAAGTCATTTTTTGTTGCGTGGTAATAGATTACAAGTCGATTCTACTCACTACTTTTTTAGTTACTTTTTTAGTCACTTTTTTTGTGTGTAGTAACCGATTGCAAGTTGGTCCTACTCGCATCTTTCTGAGTCGATTTTTTGTACATGGTGACCACTTGCAAGTTGGTTATACTCACATTTTTTCGAGTAGATTGTTGATAATGTCTAATCATGTTGGAGTTTCACATGTATTGTCTTGATGTTTGTTATTTAATTTGAAATGAACTAAATAAACAAACAAAGAATTATAGCCATAATAGTCAACTAATAACTGAAATCATGAAACATATACAAAATTAATGTAATATGATTATTTTGTAATTTTCTTGATTTGATATCCAATTCAAGTCACACCATACTTGTCCGTGTATGACTGATTCAAGTTATGTGTCTTCATTATCTCTAATTAATTGTTAAAAATAAAAGTTTAATAAATCTTTTGATATACAAGCCTAACAAAATCAACAAACTTAATAATTTATATTAAAAAAATGATGATCAACAAATATTTTTACTCATCATTTATTTATCATATAGACATGAACTTTGTCTAATCAATTCTAAAAGTTCATCTAGTATCACTCTATTTATTTAATAATATTCAAAATTCAAATTCTATAATTTTATGATTCACATATCAATTACATTAATTTTCTTACTACGAATGATTTAATTATTATTTTACCCTATAAGAATTGTAATAGAAAATAATATAGATGAAAACATTCTCTGACATTAATTT